GACATGAAAACAATATAGTATGACATCACAGAGCATAAAATAAAAGTTCATAAGAAAATCGAGAACGAATGAATATCAGTCGCGCGTTAATACTCGGTCAAATATCGGATAACCGTCTCTAGCATGCACTGGTAAAAGCTACCTTTTCTCCTGCAAGCCTAGTTGCTCCATGGCATATCTGGGATCTTGACGACGCCGTTCTTCCTCAAGTTCACGTTGGGCCTATATATTCTACTGATTAGAAAAAGAGCAAAATTTCTCATTAGTAGGTACTTTCAAACGATGAAATGACACAAGAAGATCAAAAAACCCACGATCATCTGTATTTTCTTCTGGCCAGCACTAATTTTAGGAGGCTCCTTGTAGAGTCTTTTCATAGCAGCTTGCGCAGCAATGTCGGCAGCAGCGATACGATCAATTCCGCCACCCTTAAACGGAAAATGGTTCAAAAAAAGAAACTAATTATGGTGTTAAAACATACCTGCGCTGCACCAGCATGTATGCTTGGAGCAGGCGCGCTCGAACCAGTATCAAGCTTTTGACCTGGGCCCGATTTCTTGAAGTGCTTCTCAACTTTCTTCTTTTTGAGAAAATTTTTGAAAGCGTCCATAGTTATTCGTTTTCTGTATTATGCACAATGAATATTGCGACTATAAAGTTATAATCGGATAGTGAATGTAACATTTACTCTTTTCTCTTTCTTGCTTGTCTCTTTCGCTGTTTCTTCGCACTCTTTCTTGTTCCTCTTTGAGAGCAAAGTCGATGATTATGGGTGAGTAATACCGCCACGCGATCGCGATGCACAGACAAAAGGATGCAAGCAGGAAGAGTAGGAGCAGGAGCAAGCTTATCTGAAATTTTCAAGAGACAATCAAGAGAAGTTGCTGGCAAAGAAATGAAGAAGTCGGAGATATCTTGAGCGCACAGATCGCTAGCAAAGTCATATTGAGAATACCTCAACTGATGGTCCCACACTATCGCAGCTTACGAAGGGCAGAAAGGAAAACTAAATCCGCTTCAATCACTTCAGCCACCTCGCTTTTGGTCAAATCAGTGATTTTGGATGAAGAGGCTACGCAGGTAAGTCTGGTGCTTGCAAAAGCGATAAATGAAAGCACCAGCACCTATTTCAGAATGCTCGATGACTAAGCTTAGTAGGCGCCCATCTGTCTAGTCACCTCCCGTAACTGCACACGAAAGGCGCTGACGTATCATTAGTTCGCGCAAAGCTCGGCTTTTTGCATTTTTGGAGTGCTCTCTACCAAAAACTTAC